ATTTACCTACTAAAATCAAGGGTAAATGCACTTATTTTAAGAGATTTTGTACTTTTTTCTAGATGGTTTTTGCAGTGCAAGCTCTTTAGAGTCCAGTAGCAGCATGGTTTGCACTCCTACAGACAACGTTTTGCTTTTTACTTATTGATGCATGTCCTCTGTGATGTTGCTTGGTCATAGAAACCAATGTCTGAGAACCATGGAAGTGATTTACAATCAAATCAAGATGTTCCTACACCTCCAACAAATGACCCTCCAATGTCTGGAAATTAGGGAATTTCAGGACAGGACCTTTGAAGTGGTATCCTGTGATCGTACCACACAACCGAAATTAACTGGTCTGCAGGAAAAAGGTGCTGGATTTAATACAGATGTTGTTATGCGGTTTAAACACTGAAGCCAATAAATTTTTTCAACTTATGTTGCATAGACCTAATGCTGAAGGCTAGGCTGCTCTAAGAGCTCCAACTCTCCTATTTGGAACTGCAACTGCTAGAGGTGTTGCTCTTTTATGGACACTTTTTAAAACATTCCTTTGAGTTCAACCAGGTTAACTAAAGTTATGATGATCTTACCTTTAAAATCAACTACTCTGAAATCTCCTTTCTGTCCTTTAAAGCCTTTCACACCCTGGGATCCGATCATGCCCTGCAGTAAAAACAAACAAAAAAACAAAAACAATGCTAAACCTGATTATGTTTGGTTATCCTAGACCAGGGGTCACCAACGCGGTGCCTATGGGCGTCAAAATTCCCTCAGCATCTTTTGAAAACAGTGTGACGTTTTACAAGGTTAATTATTTTAGTTTTAGTTGTTTTTTTTAACTGGGTGTTCGTCACTATTTTAGCGGTGCCAGTCAGGTATCCCTCCTGACAAGTAGGATAAATATTTATATATTTTTAAACCAGTCACACAAGGACCATAAACTTTTGTGTGTAGACACTTACAAATAAGAAACGAAAACTTCAAAAATAGACAACAAAAAATTTGGCTTGACAGTCCTTGTATTTCAAAAGAAAAATAAATATATGGCAATCAAAAAATAATCACAAAATTCTTCCCCACAAAATAAATGTCCATTTTTTCCCAACGGATTAGGGCTCCAATATAAATTGCCCCACAGCAAGAGAGGTCAGATGAGAAACAAATCTTGCTTAGAGGCAGGAACTGGATCAAGTTTTATGTTGTTGGTTTCAGGAGGATCTTTAACTGTGACGTCACCGGCTTCCGGGTAATTGTGATGACACATCGACACGGCAGGAGCACAGAAACGAGTTTGTTTGTTTTTCTTTTTTTTGTTAATGATCGGTGGTATCCAGAACAGAGGCAAAATACTGAAAGCACGAGGGATTAAACGGTCTCGGACAGACTTTGTTACTGGTCGACAGAACGGAATATGCAGACTTAGTAGCAGCAGCTGTTTCTGTTACGCTGTCTGCTGAGACACTGACATTTTCAAACTGGAGCTAGGAGTCAGATTGAACAGCGGACCAATCAGGTAAGTGCATGTGTTCAATGGGCGTAAAGAAAGGCGTGTCTTGAGCTGTGAAGAAACAGCTGGATTTATGAATAATGGTGCAGCCAGCTCTGTGCAAGAAGCAGGTTGTCAGGTTGATCTGCGATATATGAACCACGCGGAGATCTTCTCCAGTATCCTCCAGAACCAATTCATAATTTACAGGGCAAGTCCTTTTTTATGATTCTGTAAGGACCTTTCCATCGTGGAGCAAGTTTGGCCATAAAAGATTGATCAGCCTTTGATAAAGGGTGTGAACGAATCCATACACGGTCTCTTTCTGAGAAGTTTCCATCTCTTCTTCCACGGTCATAGTTGTGTTTCTGTCGCTGCTTAGCTTTTCTCAGATTGACATCAGCAAATTCACGGAGCTCAGCAATCTGTTTTACTGTAGCATAGACAGGGGTGTCAGGGTCACAAAGAGTTGGACTTAGCTCTGCATCCAAAGGCCCTTTCAGAAGTCGTCCAATGCTTAGCTCAGCTGGAGTCACACCAGTAGATTCATGCACTGCAGAGTTTAAAGCAAACCGAAATTCTGGTAGGTATTTATCCCAACTCTTATGTTTGTTACTGATATAGGATAAGAGCATAGCCTTGATGTTGCGATTTACTCTCTCCGTAAGGTTAGTTTGTGGGTGATATGCAGAGGTTTTCTTTGGTGTGAGATTCGATCTTTTACAGGTTTCTTCGAACACAGAAGAAATAAATTGTCGACCTTGATCAGAGAGAATGTATGTTGGCACTCCCCATCGTGTCAAAATCTCTCTGGTCAAGTACTGGGATATTATTTCTGCAGTAGAAATAGTCCACAAAAACAAGTAGATGGACATTACCATTAGAACTCTGTGGAAAGGGTCCCATAAGGTCCACGCCCAACATCTCCCATGGTGCACTCACCTCTGTTTGTTGCAACTTGCCAGGAGCTTTTCAGGTTTGTACATTTGACAGACTTGACAGGATCTCACATAGTCCCGAACATCAATGCTCATCCTTGGCCAATACACCAAGGCTTGTAACCGTTTGTAGGTTTTGTATCGTCCAAAATGTCCAGATAAAGGGTCATTATGATTGTGATGAAGTAACTGTTGACGGAGTGATGGTGGAATATAGACTTGGTAAAGAGTTTTGTGTGGTAATTGAACAACTCTGTAAACCTTGTCTTCCAGGATAGTGTACATTATTGTTGGCGACTCATGTACTGTTCCTTTGTCCATTATTTGTTGGTAAATGTTTTGTGCAAAAGGATCCTGCTGTTGAGCCTTCTAGATGTTCTCATCTGTCACTTGGAGTGGGTGAGAAGTGTCCCTACGACAGCACAGGTAACTGGTGAATGGTCAGAAGCATTGATTGGGGCTCGTGACAGAGCATCTGGAACAGTGTTATACTTTCCTTTTCGATATTCCACTGTGAAGGAGAATTCTTGCAAACGAAAAGCCCACCGGATCAGCCGAGTGCTAGGTTTATGAGTTTTAAAAACCCAGATCAGAGATGAATGGTCAGTCACAACGGTGAAGTGTCTTCCTATAAGGTAATATCTCCACTTTTCAATGGCCCAAACAACAGCAAGACATTCTTGCTCAGTAGTAGAGTAGTTCCTTTCAGCTTTATTTAGAGTTCGGCTGGCATAGGCCAGGACTTGCTCAGTGCCTAACCCAGTCTGCTGAGCTAGAACGGCTCCCAAACCCACATCACTAGCATCAGTATAAACAATGAATGGAGGTTTGAAATCTGGATGACCAACTCAGTGGGCTAGGTTTGAAATTTTATTCTATTCATTTGCTCTTATTTTTTAATAATTTATAGAGCATTTCATTACATTAATCTTTTAGAGCATTTAAGCATTTTTAGATCACAAAATGAGCATATCTTTGAGAAAATTAGAAGGGAAAGGAAACAATTACAATATTATTATTATTTATGTAATTTTAATGACTGCTGACCCAGTCCAGTTCATAGGTCAGTATGGGTAGCCCTTCGTATTACTCAGTACCCCTTAATTAGCTCTAAACCTTAAAAAGGTTGGTGACCCTTGTTCTAGACCTTCTCACAATTTGCTGATTAAAAACTCACCTCAGCACCCTTTAATCCTCTGTCTCCAGGTGAACCCATCTCTCCTCTTGGGCCTGGGTTTCCTGGGGGACCTGATGACCCTTTTCTCCCTACTGGTCCTTCAGGACCAGGAGGGCCCCTTATCTCAACTGGGGGGCCACATAAACATGTACCAAGATCACCTAAAACACAAAGGTTGAAAATAAGATTTTAGATCTCCCTCCTAAAAGCCAATCAAGTTGTTTTATTTTCTGATTTAATTAGCAGAGTTCTGTTGTAACTTTGTGTGAACAATAACAATGTGATCATTCACTAGGTCCTTTACACACAGAGAATTAAATATTATATTTAATAGGGAGGGTTATTAGGTGTATTCCTATTCAGAATGTGATCTTTATGACCACTACGTCAAGATCTGATGACTGGCCTGATTACTCATCTGATCCACCTCCTTCAGTCTCTATTTAACCAGCCCTCAAACCAGTCATCAGTGCCAGATTATCCACAAGCCTGTGGTGGTGTTTCTCTAGTGTACAGTACCTGTATTTCTGATTGCCCGATCCTGACCTGTTCTGCCTCTGGACCTCAGAGCCTGCGTGTTCCCATGCTGATCTGTTTGCCTGACCTGTCTTAGGACTCCTGCTGGATTCTGCCTGTTTAAAAAAAACTGGAACTGTTTCCTGACACCGTCTTGGATTTCCTTTCGGAACCTCTTCCAATCTTTGATCTTCTGGTCTGTACTCCTTAGCTCCTCGTCAACACGGGCTTTGGTTTCAACCTCTGGATTATCCTGCTTTCCTTCGTCTGCCTGTCTACCCGGGGCTTTAATGTCTGGGGCACTCTGGGCAGCTTCCGCCGCGTCTTCTCGGCAGCTGACCGACTGGAACAAACCTCATCCTCTGTGCATGGACTGAACTTTAAGAACAGGTTAGTGACTTACACATTCATAATCTTCTGCCACTAGATTGATGTGGTCACCAACCTGTGTTCTCTTCCTGTAGAGGTTCCTGCCTTAGATGTACTAGCTGTTTGCTGCAGTTCCTTTACTTTAAATAAATGCCTTTTGAGATATCAAACTGTCTCTCTATCTGAATACTAGTTTCTCTGTGCTGAGCCTTGACACACTACCATTTCACCTCACATTCCAGACCTCATCCGTCCTCACATTTTAAGCATTGACTTATTTAACAGTTATTTATAAGCAATAAATATTGGTAAGAGCAAATTGATGCGTTATAACAGCATCATTAAAAGAACAACTGTACATTCAAACAGCCACTTAGTACTTATTATGTAATGTAAGACAGAACAAAATAGGAAGGAACCCCATGAGGTGATGCACAGGTCCTACCTGTTGAATAACGTTTTTATACTTCATCTTCACCTGCTGACAGGTGCGCTTCTTTTAAGTGACATTTTATCTAAATGTCATACATTGATCGACTACATACCATTCAACCACTAAATTAGATTTCCCCCATAACATTGTCGTCATCGCAACAGCCTATGGCAGGCCATTAAGATATTCATCAGTTTATCTGAATAGATATTTTTTTTTATATCCGAAATAGGACAATATTTCCTTGTCAAAATAAACTTTATGAACAAAATGATATTCTTCATATCTAAATTAAACATTTTGGATGTCTACAAATCTCCATATTGCTGTAACTGGTTATAATTTGTGTTGTTTTTAACAGAAAAAAAACATATTTCAGATATCGTAGACACATATTCAATCAAGTTATTAAGTGTCAAAATGGCCATTTGTAATTGAGAAAATATATTAGAGTTCTGACCAGAAATGTGATTTTGAACAGGAAGAATCCTAATTTAGTGATGTACACATTGAAGAACAGAGGGGAGAGTGCTTTAAATAAATGTGAAAACAGCCTGCAACAGAACACTTGACAAATTTACGCATTAACTCGAGCAGCAATCTTCTCCTTGAGTCTGAGTTTTTTAGAACTCTGATCTTTAAACTCGTTTTGAAAAAGAAGTGTACTGCAAAAGGGTTTAACTGGAAAATTAAAATATGTTAATATCATGATTGATTGACTTTAATCTTTCCAAATAGGAAATAGGGCAAATAGGGCAATAAAAAAAAATAAAAAAAAAAGTTGAGAGTCAGACAATTGATTGCGCTCTGCAAAGATTGCATGTGAAACATATAAGTCATGCAAACCAAGTCAGTCCACCTTTTTTAAATTAGTGAAAGTGTGAACTGCTGGCACTTCGAGGGTAGGTTTAAAAATATTAAGGTGAAGTTATAACCCATGGAATTGAAGGTAACAATCTATAATAATAATGATAACAATCAATTTTTCCAGGTCAAGGACCCCCAAACTGATGGCCAGATCAGGAGCAGGGACCCACTAATTATATATAGTATGAAACTGTGTTCTATCAAACTGGTCCTATAGTCACTCTATTACAGATGGAGTCATTAATGAAAGTAATTTCTCCCTGGGATTATTTAAGTTTTTCTGATTCTGATTCCTGGTTGATGGGACAGGTGTTGTGAATGAAACGGTGCCCAGCTTAAAAGAGCTCCTGTGTGTTGCTGAATGTGTGCATTGATGACTGAAAGACATCTTCTGCCTCCATTTATCTGTTTACTACAGTGTATTGAATTCATGTTAATGTGGATTTAAAGACATTTCAATTAGTGGAAAAAAATGCAGGGGGAATATAAAGTCTAAGTCTAGTCAACCAAAACTTTCACAACCCCCATGCAGTACCTCCGTGGACCACCTAGGGGTCGCAGCCCCCCTGTTGAAGATCTCCGATCTATAGTGCACTTTAGATAGAAGTAAATTAAAATGATTTAAACAAAAGTATAGCAAATTAAAAGATGCAAAATCATATATAAAAGGATTAAAGGTCATAGCTACTTATTCATCAAAACAATGACGTTTTCAGGGATAATCCACAAAAACATCCACATAATATCTAGAATGATACAAATTGAAGTGTTAACTTTATTAAAGAATAAAATATGAATTTTGATTGCTACAAAATGATAGCCTCTACTGATATGATGGCATAAGAGCTGAGAAGTAGCTTTATATCAGCATTAGTTCTATAAATAGGATTCAAGCCCCCAAAAAAGTATTAATAATAAATAATAGTAAATAAAGGAGAACAAGAGCAAACATTGGTCCAGTTCTAAAACGTTGGTGCTGTCTTAAAGGGAACCATGATAGCAGTAAGAATAGATTTTATTTGGGGGAAATCTATTTTCAATTAAAATACAAAAAGTAAAAACCCCGTTTAGTTTAGCAAGCTGTTTAGTTTAATAAATTTGTAAAATCATTTAAAACAGATGTTTCCATGTTGTTTATGCTGCAAACCCTTTTGGGCAAATGGCATATGCTAGGTCCTGTAGCATTAGCTTCATCCAACAAAACAGCAATGAATAATGTTAAAACTTTTAGTTTGAACTGGAGCATTTTGAAATGAATGAGAATGTAGAAATAACAACACGTAATGAAGATAAGGAGGACTAAAAGGAGGAAGAGAGGGAGTCAGATAAAGAAGCTGGTGTTTGTATGGCTGCTAAAAGCACAAACCCTGAGTGTATAAAACTAAAGGAAGGGCTTGAGGATCAGGCTAATAGAAGAAAAAGAGTAGAAACAAAGCTTTATTTATAAAACACCTAAACAAGTGTGAATGATTTCAGGATCTTTCAAAGGTTTTAAAAAAAGAAACTCACTGACCTTTGGGCCCCGGATAACCGCGTTCTCCTTGAAAGCCTAGGTCACCTGGATCTCCATTGAGGCCTGGGATCCCTGGAAGACAGTACGTTCCTGCACGAAAGAGGATCACATTTCTAGAACATCAGGAAAATGTAAGTATCATTGACTGACCATTAGAAATGAAAACTATTTTACTTTAAGACTTGAAAATCACGGGTATAAAGAAAGTGATCCGTTACCTGGAATACCCGGCCCTCCCTTGGGCCCTCTCCGTCCTGGCGGCCCTGGTTTTCCACGTTCTCCAGGGTACCCCTCTTTTAAAATCTGACCTGGGTCTCCTCTGTCCCCTTTGGATCCAGGTTCACCTTTCTGACCAGTCATACCTGGTGGTCCTGACCCCCCCACAAAGAATATTACAATACTTAAACTTTTACTTTATATTCAGATCAGATCATCAAAGTCATCCTGTACCACTTTAAACCTGTTCTGTGCTGCCATGACATGTTAAATGTGAACAAATAATGTTACCTTATCAACAAATCACAACACCATAATTATAACATAGATCAGAGGCCCGTACCATGAAGCGAGCCTAACCTACAGGGATTACTTCCAGGCTATCCAGTTTAACCAATCTACAGCAATGGCAATCAGGCTCATTGGCGCCTCAGAGCACGTATAAAGGGGCGGGTTGAAAGTAGCAGACCATTCACAATCATAAGTGCAGAAGGGACAGTGGCGTATCTCTGTGAGGAACAAAAACTAAATTTACAAAAGTAAGAAGAGTAAAAAAAAAGGCTAATTGAAAAGTCAAACATGGTGATCAATCCTTTGCCACAAAGAGCATGGCAAAGGATCGGTCACTGCGTAAATGCACAAGTTACACATCAGTGACATTTAACACAGACAGCACACCAATCACTACTGCATATTAATTGCATGCCCCTCAGGAGTGAAGAGGAATTAGGAGCAGATTAAAAATAAAACACAAAAACATTATTTCATCTGGTTAGACTGACTTTTAATTTCAATAATGTCTGCTCTACAATAAAGATGAAACCACAATTGCATCATATTAATACAAGAAGTGGATAATCTTTGTATAATCCTCCTGATTTCTGAGAACGTTTTCTTTTTTTTTTATGGTGGTTTGCCATTTAATCCTCATCAGAGCAGCTCAGGTGAAACATCTACCGTTCCAATTAATACTGTTACAGCAAGAAAGAAAAGTTTTATATGTCAACTTGTATATTTAACAGCATGATTTTTATAATGTGATGAATATGGAATCTCACAGAAATCCAGTTATTGACTCACCTGCCATAAAATCCTTTTTTTTTACAGACTGTATTCAGACAAGTGGCTGACCATCCCAGTCAATGTACATTTAAGGTTTTGTTATCAGCCAAATCAGAGGATGGTGCTGCCCCCTTCTGCCTTTCACATGTCTTACTCTAGAAGTCAAGTAAAGAGGAAACTGGAAACTTCTTCATACCCCTTTAGAGACAATTTACATAAATCGATATCTATGTTCTTTGGCTGTATATACCGACAGGTTTATTTAGTGGAGGGTTTTGTTTCTATTTATGTTCAGGTGAATTGAGTTAGCTTGGAAATTGGTGTTTGGTTTGGTAGGTGTTGATTAGGCTCTTTCGTGTGTGTGTTTTGTCAAATCTTCTGACTGAAAAATTGTCTAAAATAAATTCCTAATTATTAATTATTTCATTCAACTAAAGAGACTGAATCGGAAGTCACCAGGTCCTGATGATGTCATCCCCAGAGTCCTGAATGCCTGTGCAGAGCAGCTATGTGGGATTCTACAGCACCTCTTCACCCCTAGTCTGACCCTGGTGACAGTTCCAGTGATGTTGAAGAAATCCTGCCTTGTTCCAGTAACAAAGAATAATAATTTATAATAATTTAACTTTATTGATCTCACACTGGAAAAATTCACCTCTGCATTTGACCCATCCTCTAACCACTAGGCCAACACTCCCCCAAGAAGACTCAGAGAAGACTCTGCCAACAGTCCCCAGTGACTATAGACCTGTTGCCCTGACATCGCACATCAGGAGGGTCCTAAAGAGACTTCTGTTAATTCACCTCAGCAAGCAAACATGCAGCTACTAGGACCTCTGGCCGGGTCGCCTCCTCGCGGTTCACCGCGGCAGCTGGTAGGTGTTTTTCATCTAAATAATCCAAACTGCAGGCA